AATGCCCCAAAGGAATCTATCTTAAACAATTATCTAGTGATTATCCAGCGTTTTTTTTAAATCCGGCGCCCCCCTCTACCCCAAATAATCGATGATCTACTCGAACTCAAAGCCGGGTCTAAAAGTGGCAAACCAATCTTGATTTGAAGCTTTCGTGGCTGGAGGAATCCATACACCTTTGGTTCTTTCGGTAAAGTCACGTAGGTAGAAAATAATAGATCACGACGTTTCGATCGTAACACAAGCAAGGGCGGAGGACGATTGCTTGCGTTGCGATTGAAACGTCGTGATCTATAATTTTTTCTACCTACGTGACTTTACCGAAATAAACCATATTTGGTGTTTTGGTAGCAGGAATGTTGGACATGCCGTTGTTGCTGCACACACACCATTTCCACCATGAAACGTATCGTGCCTCGGGGGATGTTGGGTCTTCCGTTATGCTCTTTTTTGTTTGAGACCGGGAGATCGATGATCCATATTTGGTCGCCGCGTTGATGGCATTCGTCGTCAATTTTCACTTAACAGAGTTGGACCGCGTGAAGGCCGCTACCGTATTCCACTCCTTCCGCACGGCTGCTGATGTAGATGCAGAGCAACAACGACGATGTCACATTGAGGTGGTCAAGCCAGATAACAGTGTCAGGGGCAGCGGAGTCAGAGTGCATCGCTGTGATGATGTCTCCTTCGTATTTGTGGATCGGGCATTGCGACGTGAAACTTGCTCTGGATTACCAGTCACGCAATGGCGAGTTTATATTTTCCTTTTGTCCATCAGGTATCCGCATCTGCCATGGTTTGTGTGGATGTGGTTTGTACATATATGTGGAATGAAAATGCTATGCTTGTAAGCACAAATACTACGTGAACTGTTTACACAACCGAATATTCTGGAGGTTGCTATAGTGTGTGCGGACTATATTTAGAATTATGATGTGATGTGAAATAGTTGACCTTATTTACACAATTGTATTATTTGTATGATTTACTTTTCTTGTTTGAATCACACGTGTGCAGATGTACCGGCTGGAAAATGTGTCCCCAAGAATGTGGTCACATGTAGTGATTGTTTGGCTAGTGGTGGATATTGTGCTTGGTGCAAGACACTGGTATGCATAACTCACATCAACACTAATCCCATTCACTAACACATTCCTGTGTAGGGAGCTGGGAGGAACGTTGGGTTGCTCGGTCAATGGCCAGGGTCAACGGCGGCGTGGTGTATTCCGCAAATATGCCCGACTGTGAGGGCGGGCACAAGCCGGCGTGAGTAGGTTAAACGTTGAGTTTTATAAGGGCACCACGGGATGACCACCCAGCCCCTCCCCACCCAGCCCTTCCCCACCCAGCCCCTCCCTCCCCACCCAGCCCCTCCCTGCACGACGGACACAATAATCCCCTGTGGGCTGGTGTAACCAGGAGGTTCCTACCAGTATTAACTCTGCCTCGTAACGGCACAAATATAGTCGCCTGAGTTTTTGTTGAAAATGGTCCTTGTATTGAGAATAGAGACAGAGGGCAGAGGGATTGACTGACTTGTAACTGGAGTTCACCACTTTTAAGAGAGTTGAATATGAACAGTTTAGAATTTATGCGAGCAGTTTTCTATTCGCGGAGTGATTATCGAACAAACCATTTAGTCAGAAATACATATACATTTATTAAAAGTGAATTATTCATACACCATGTGACATGCTCCCACTAATTTTCCTCAAAATACCCTTCACAATGTTATTCATTGTTTGCGCACTTGGATTAAATTACAAAGTGTCCCAGTTTGTCCGGTGAGTTAGTTTTTAATTATGTTGGATGTTCTAACCATGACCGTATGGAACTAAGCGAGGGTACTGGTAGTTAGGCTTGTTAAGTGTCTCTAAAATTCTTGATAAATGAATAAAACCAAACGGGTACCGATTTCCCACACATTTATAAATGTCTAGAGCGATAAACATTTTGTGGTTGCCTTTTCAACTGAGAAACAAAATGAGCTGCCGTGCTGTAGCGGTTGGCACAATGGTCCTGCAATGCAGAGGTCGACAGTTCAATCACCTGGCGCGGCAGGTAAACTGTTGGTGCAAGTTTCTGAAATCCCACCGGGGCCTCAGTTCACCCAGCAACGTTACATGGGTACACCAGTCAAGTCTATCTATGATCGTTGGTTGGTCACGCAAAGAACAGGCCAAATGGCCTCGACAGGAGCTGTCAACAGCTCCCTTGACATACTCTTTGGTTCTTTCGGTAAAGTCACGTAGGTAGAAAAAATAGTAGATTACGAAGTTTCGATCGCAATGTAAGCAACCGCCTGAGGGCGATTGCTTGCGTTGCGATCGAAACGTCGTGATTTATTATTTTTTCTACCTACGTGACTTTACCGAAAGAACCAAAGAGTATGGATTCCTGCAGTCACGAAAGCTTCAAATCAAGCTCCCTTGAGTTGAGATTCGTTACATCAGCTGTGGCGTGAGCAAGCATTGTTACGTGGACGCTGCGGCGGCGAGATGTAACTACCTCAGCTGATATACAGGAGGTCGTGGGTTCAATCCCGACCCTGACGTCTGTACATTTTTGGAGTTTGCAGTGCCTCTCTCCCCGTGGTCACGTGGATTTTTCTCCAGGTCCTCCAGGTTTTCCCCTCCACATTTAGAGACGTGCGTTTTGGAGTACTTGGCTGCGATACATTTCCACGTGATAAGCAAACTTTGTTAACCTATCATTTGTGGGCAGGTCACTTCTGAAAAAGAGCTATATAGATCAGTGGACCTTGCCTGGTAAAATAAAAAAATTGTTGAGTTTAGTTCATCGTTTTTTCGGAACAAAACAGAAACAAACATCCCCTTTCTTTTAAAGTGTTTAATCACAATACATTCAGTAAAACCAGCATCGTATGACAACTCAAATGAATAAGCACAACGGCATTGCAAATTAACTTCCGATAATCCATACATTTTCAACGTGTGCATTAAGAATAGTTGGATTATAACTAGTGTTGACTTAATATTATCTTTTCATATCAGCATGCCAGCCACCAAGTTTGAAATATGTAGGCACAGGTGTGGGAGACAACAAATTACAAAATTGTTGACAACTGTAAAAGGTGTGAACAATGCATAATGGCAGAACGCTATATTAGCTCTCTCAAACTAAAAACATGACCGTACATTCGTAAATTATGTTTTAAACACTTACAATTTTAAAGTTAATTGTACACTTACGTTCTTTCAAGAGGTCGTGTCTGCATTAAAGGCAGTGCCAACTTGTGGAATCGTCAGCAGATGAAGTTGTTAACTACACAGCATGGCTTTGCTTTATGTAAACAAGGTAACATTGACATGAAAACATAATAACTGTAGGTTAAATTGTCCAAACGCAATGACGGATTTAGCACCGGGATCATGCGATCGTAGAGCAAGATGAAATGATGATTTTTAATCAACATGGCTGTTAGTGCAACGTTAATCGCTGAGCAAAATAGCTCGGCAACACCGACCTGTAATCCTATTCTATTCCAAGCACTTGCATTAAAAGCTATTACAGAACAGCAAACTCAACGGTAAACAACTGGTTGCGATTAATCATTACGATAAAATCATTCAGTGACGTTTGCATGTGATTTAAAGTGAAAATTATTAGAGAATAGCGGCGGCGAAAAACGTCGATTTATTAACGAACAATAATTTCACTCGGAAGGAAATAAAAACACTGGCATCAGCAGGAACCTCAGCGCATGAAACGGCGAAACAGCAGTGCACCACACCCAGGCTATCTTACATTTTGGATATCTCTCAAGAAAGGAGCTCACAATATATTATGTTTATCGTATGAAACTAACAAAAAGGAAACTTTCATTTTAATTCTAAAACTGAACAAATGTTTATATGATATCTTCATTGCATTTACCTTGTTAAAGCTACGGGCTAAAGTAAGATTGCAATCACCAAAAAATCAAGCAAACGTAACCTAAAACCAAAAATCCCACTTATCTACACAAATAATCATTGTTACAGCAACTTATTACTCTTTAAATATAGTGTGGATTAAACCTAGCAATATAAATATATAAAATGATATGATTTTTTTTGTATTTTTTACATTGCATATTTTTTTTCTCACCCAAGGCATTAAAGCTTGCACTTTAAAATATTTAAAGGGACAGCGCTACACTAAATATTTTTTGCTCCAAACAAATATTTACATATTCTGCTAAATATGCACAAGCTCAAAGCACAGGTGTTGTTTTTTTTTCGTATCAATATTTATGTGAATAATATACTGCTTAGTTCTAGGTCACAGAAACTATGGTTATCTAACTGGTACTTCCCTGTAAACATTTGCCAACGTACGATCACAACTCGCGCTGAGACACAGCGCCAATCTGAAAAGCCACTTCTCCTCTGGGAACACCTATGAACGATATTGTTTTTGGAATAACTGAGGCTTGTTTATATTAAGATGACTTTATAATGACCTACAGAGCTTTGGTAATTATTTTATAGCTGAACACTTTTATTTCTCATAGCAGTACCATTATGAGCCATTTCAGGAAATAACATAATACGTTATGCATTGCCATTCCTATTACTAGAACCATGAAAAGATTTTACTCCAAAATCTACAAATAATATCACGCAACAACCTTCCCTTCTTGGAAATTAAAGCAGTTGTTTCTTAGGTACATTCTCCTGCATTTCATTACAACCATCAAGTACAGTACTATGGTTGAATTATGGAGATATTCTCGTACTGTTATTCTCCGTAGCTCTGCTAACGATAGCAAAACAACCTAGACCACAAGCGACATTAACCCCTCGAACCGCCTCGACTCAGTTCGCCTCTCGGCTGCAGTGTGCTGCCCGTCAGGCTGTATCTCTGTGTGCGGCCCTGCCTGCTTCTCTCACGTGCTGGCGGCTCACTTTAGAGCCTGCCTCCCCGCAGACCTGCGGCGGTGTCGGCGGGAGACACGTGCCCACGGGGGCCTCGCTCGGCCTGGCGGCACATCCCGCACGAGCGTGGCCATCGCCGGTCTTTGCCGAGGCCCCGCTGCCCTCGGCCGTCCCCGCCTCTGCCGGCGGCTCCTCTTCGCCGGGCTGCAGAAGAGGATCAACGAGCGGTGCCGGGAACTCCTTTGAGACGCGCTGGCAGACCTGAGCGTAGCTAAGCCTCTTCAGCTGCACGGACAAACCACACACACACAAAACAGATTTCCTGTAATTTTAAATACTCGTTGAAAGCACCATTTTGTACGAATTGGTGATATTTCTACAGACGAGCCCTGATCACAGAAATGTGTAATTTGCATCACTGCCTCTGAACATCCTGCTGAGATTAGCACCGCCCAATGCTCTTTTTGAGCAGGAAGGAAAACGTATTTGTAATATACTTTGTATGTATGTATGTTGAACTTCTTTCGCACCATACATAGCCAACCGTGATAATCTGAGGTTCGAAATCGGAGGTACTTTGATGATAGCAAGAAGCCACGCTTTGGCTTGCCACACAGGTGGCTCAGAGGGACGAGACCTTTGACAGTTCTTTGCATTAACGCCTTTTAAATGCTCGATTTGTCGTCGGGATAATATCTGTGAGTAAAACCAAGTTATCTATTGTAGCAAGTCGATTGTCTTAGCTTCGTCACATAATTGCATACGCATTTATAAATGAATATTAATATAGATATTCCAGCTCTGTTGCCTAAATATTGATTGATTGCCATGGACAAACGATCTCCAATGAGAGGCTCATAGAAGTGACCGAAGGAGTAGATTTGTGGTGTCATCTTCGAGGGAATACTCTCTGACAAATTCATTTTGTGAGTTATATGGAGCAATCCTCCATCACGTCACATGACCATCAGCACAATTCCGATTAACATAAGATACAAATGTAACAAAACAAACACATCTAATTTTCGATTAAAAGCTTTCGTGACTGCAGGGATTCATCTTCCTGCATAATGCATAGGCATAATATGACTTTGAAACCCCCCCGCCCACCTCCTACGCATTTCCCATGAATATGCTAAATTCCTCTTGATATGCACATTCTTTTGTTAAGGCGCTCTTCTTCCACCTCCAACCCAGCTCATATATAAGCTCCTAGCTTGGCGGTGTCTCATTCTTCACCTGAAGACGGCTGCTTGCGTTGTAGCCGAAACGTCGTGAGAATTATTTTATTATGTTTTATTTTTATTATTTTATTACTTCCCTTCTACGTGACTTTACCGAAAAAACCAAGAAGATGAAACACATCTAAATTGCTCCAGTAGCTTGATGGGTGATCCGTTTGTAGGCTATTCCTGTGTTATTTCCCAAGGCTAACCTTCATAAGCAATCACCCCAATAGGCTATCGTCGAGCTGAAACATAAATTATCAATTGCTGAATATATCTGAAAGTAAATACATGGTTAAGCAGTGTAATATAATTAACCGCATAATGAGTTCATTCGTTGCCGCTCTGTTTTACACGTTCCATGTTTAAACAACAAAAGATTGTCCCGATGCACAGCTAAGTTACGACGTCTAATTAACAACGCCGTTCTGGAAACAGCACGGTCTCAGAAATTGCACCAGAATCAGAATATTTATACTCGATAAATCCAATGAGCTATAAAGCTCTTTTTCACAGATGTCCAGCACCCAACAACAATAGAAACAAATTAGACTGCTGCCTTCTACATAACGTACCGATGAGAATGAATCTCAGCGTGATGTACCTGCGTGTCTGTGCTGCCGGGTTGTGGCTCTGCAGGTGGCTTGGCCTTGGCTGTAGTCGTGCAGTCCTTCTCCTGCTCAGTCGCTGTCAATGGAACCTCCACAGCAGCTGGCTGAGGGCTGGCGGGTTTGCTTCTCTCAAGGCTGGACTGTGGGCTACAGTGAGTAACAGGACACAAAGACAAAGATCTCCCGTATAGCCTGAACAAACTGTTAGGGAAAGTGCTGTTTGCGAGCATCTATGAAGGCCAGCATGGCACATGCAGGGGTGGGTGGCCAGCACCACGCCCGGCCACCTTTGTCTCCCTCGTGGCGATGTTTACACACCGCGCCAGGTACTCACTTGAGGCCAAGTCGACCTAGGGGAGGCCCAGGACCGGTTACGATAATCATCACTGGTGTTGACCGTGAGTGGGAATCAAACCCGGGTTGCCAGGTTCGTAGCACAGTGCGCTAACCGCTACACCACCGCTCCCCACACACAGGACACACACATTCCACAGGAGCAACCCATCACACATGTCCTGGTAAGTGAAATCAAAGATGTGATTGGACCTCACAATTGGAGCTCAAATGCAAATGACTAAAGTGAGATGTCGATTGTCACGTTGTTCGGAATATAAAACCTTACAGTCACAAATTGAAGAAATGGTGAGATCCACGCACTGTGTATTTTTGAGTGACACCCCTTTTTTTAAAAGAATGGCCTTTGATACAAGAAATTATGAGTCTAAAGAGTATTTTGATGAGGGTCTTGCCAGGCATGTTTCATCTATTCCTTAATAGTTATTTTCCCATACAGAAGAAAACTGCACCGTAACATTATTTTTTCCATCTACGTGACTTTACCAAAAGAACCAAAGAATAACATTAACCCGCTTTAAACAACCATGGACAGATCAGCAGCATGCCACACTGCCACATACTGGCCACCTCAAGGTACTGCAGGTCAGGTGCTTGGACACGTGATCTCGGAATGAACGACCTATCCCAACTGAGCTTTGGTGCCATTCACCTCCGTCAGTGTATTTGACACGGGGCATGTAATACCCGTCTCTCCGCGGTGTGATGAATTGTCAGAATTGAGGTCACAATTACATTCACATTGACAATTATCTCTTGTCATTACGGTGCATGCAGAACGTATAATATTGATGGCGAGATTTCCAAGGACATGCATAGTTTCCATGAATCAAACGGGGCCAATACATGGATTGATTCCTACATGGGAAACTCGATGCAAGTACATGTTAAGATATTGTATCGATCCACTGCTAAATGAGGGCCTCCTCACACTGTTTGGGTCATCGAGGTTATTTTATGATACTTCACCACGCTGATCAGTGTGGGTCGGTGAAGGTGGGTAGCGTAGATGCGGGAGCATATAGGTGCAGTACAACAACGGAATTTTACTGCACTGGCCGCTGCTGCCTACAACTTAGAACCATAGTAGCCTATGACACATGTTTTGTGCACGGTGGTGACCCATATAAGCATTGTCCAGGCTCATCTTGCTTAGATTCTGAGATCATAAGGGATCTAAGCATTCTGGGTAGCTTGGTCAAATGCTTGATGTATGCAGCATGACATTCATAACAATTATATGTAATCTAAACATTTACAAACCGCTACCAGCTTACTGGATACCGAATAATCAGATGTCAACATTATTTGAAAACTCACGGTGCTATGCCCCAACTCTCTCAGCTCACCTGGCACTGCATGCGGATGGCAAGCTGGGTCTGGGCACGGGGATCTGTGCTGTTTGGGTTTTGCATGGGGAGGAGGGTGGGGGCGACACGCCTGGAACCTCTTCAGCTTTGGTCTGTGCAAAACAATAAGAAAATACGTCACGTGATGACAAACGTCGTTAAAGCCGCACATGCAGACACCTGCAAGCGACACTAGCAGTTTGCGTACGTGGTATATCTTTTTGTAAACGAACATTCCCCATGAATGTGAAGCCACTGCTACAAGAACAACAACAAAAACCTGCCATGCGTAACAATCTAAGTGTGTGTGTGTTGCACACAACCTCAGAGCATTCCACCAACCATGGCTCTAAAACCAAATTACTGGGGTCAGCCACTACGCTCAGCAGACTATTGACGTCAGCATGCAACGCAAGGAAGTTGCCTCGCTGTTGAAGCCAAGGAAATGTTCTTTCAAATGACGGGCCAATGCCAACTGGTAGACAGAGATTTAATGAGCAATAACTACAATGCACGTTGCTTACATAAGATGAGCTTCACAGTCGTTATTCACAGCCAAAGGTAGTTAAAACGTCCCGTAATAAAGCAGGTAAATGTTATAACACAGCGGTCGGGAACCTATGGCTCGCGAGCCATATATGGCTCTTCCGGTGACGGCATATGGCTCCCAGACAATTTTGAGTTGAAAATAATAATAATAAAAAAATCAGTTTGGAACTGATTTTAAAATACTTGTGATATTCCTAAATAATACTGTGTCATTTTAAAGTAAACAGAAATTAGTTTTGAAGATAAAATTTCTCGGGTCACGGAACCCGTGACCAGAAGTCGCATTAAAAGTAAGACATATTTAATTTATTATACGTTAAAAATACTATATGGCTCTCAATGAAATATATTTAGAAATATTTGGCTTTATGGCTCTCCCAGTCAAAAAGGTTCCCGACCCCTGTTATAACAGTTGCTGTAGGTTTTCCGCAATGGATTGACAATGAATGGCATGCAATCCCTACTCTCTCTCTCTTCACATTGTCCAAACACGCACTGTTGTGCACTCTGTACGACCACTCCCTCGTTGACATCTGCAACTTGCAAATGGCAGATGTAAATGAGGGAGTGGTGGTACAAGCTATTCTGCATGAAGTTCGCAAATGTGGCCACTGGTTAAGTAAAGATCAACAACTATTACGTAAAATAACACTGTCATTACCTTTTGTTTCCATTCAAACGGCCACTGCACCACGCACATTGAGATGTGCTTCTGCGGCAGTCTGGAACGCTCTTCCGATATTAAGAAGCTACTGGCGCTATGACCGTTTAAATCTAGATTGAAAACTTATTTCTATAGAACTGTTCTTGTGTTTAGTTTTTTGTCCTTCGCCTGCACCTCCAATTAGCACGGTTGGCTGTGTAGGGTGCGAAAGAAGTTCAACATACAACAATGTTTTTCTGACACTTATACAATTCAATGCAGGAGTGAATTGATCCATGAGAGAAAATGAAGCGAATTACAACAATTACACTTAAAGCAATGCAGGTTGAACCAGAACTATTCTTACGGCTCCGCGTTAACACCCGGCCATAAGCGAGTGCTCGTCCAGTGGCCCGTCAATTGTGAGCGTGGGGCCACACTTGGCCGTGGAGACTGATTCAAAAAAGGGGAAAATTCTCCCGAACCCGGGTTGCAGCGGTGGGTGGCGGCGGGGGGGCGACGCGCCCGGAAAACGAGACCATGGCGAGCGACGAGACGGTGAAAGCTCAGGGAGGACGCGCAGCCCTTTACCGTGGCCGGCTGCGGCTTCCCCGCGGGGACGGCAGGCTGGGAGGAGGAGCCGCCTCCCTCCGCCTTTGGCTTGGCAGTGGCAGCGGCGGTGGCGGCGGCGCTCGTCGCGGCGTGTGGCTTGTCGGGAGTGGCGGGCAGCAGCGGGGGGAAGCTGGAGGCGGCCAGCTCGAAGCGCGACATCGCCGGGCTCGCCGGCTCGCTCGTCTGAAGCTGCTGTCCGCCCTTGGTGTTCGGACAAACAGGCCAAGGCAAAGAAAGACAAAGTCTCAACAGATTGTTGAGGCAAGTGCCGCTAGCAAGTAGCACCTATGAAGGCCGGCACGGCACACGAGGGGGTGGGTGGCCAACACCACGCCTGGCCGCCTCTGTCTCCCCAGTGGCGATGTTTACACATGCCACCAGGTACTCATTTGAGGCTGTGTTTACCTAGGAGAGGCCCAGGACAGGTTTAAGCAATCGTTAGTGGTGTTGGTGATGGCTAACCACGACACTGCCGCTCTCCACAGACCACCATCAACACACACACACACCGTAGCACCATTAGACTCATGTCAGAAGTAAATGAATATTCACACTTACAATATTCAGCGTCTGCAACAAGAACCAAAACAAATGTAGAGGCGATTAAGTAAGAGGTTTCAATTAGCACTGGGGTGGAGCGATGTATTGATTTGTGGATTTATGTCGATGGTTGAGCTCACAGTTGTGCGTGTAAGAATCAATGTGTTTCGATTTGTGTACATGGTAAGTAATGCGTTCACAGCAAACTGCAGCCACATGAGGCTCTATAGCATTCACCGTAACGTGAATATAAACAAATAAAATATCCATGAAATAGCTGGGGGGAATCATTCCACCCATAAATTAGAGAATAACATTCTATTTCATATCAAGACAATTGATATATATCCATGCTGAATTAAATACTGGCCAGTGATCATCTCAAATGGCGGGCCAAAGCAAGCATTTACAATTCCAAACTTTGATAACTGTGGCCAGTCTCTCCATTGCACGGTCACTGTTGGGGGGTGATGGGCTGGCGATGTTATTCCAAAGCTTTGCAACATTTGGTAGGAGCTGTAAGGGAGGGGGGGGGGGGGGTTCTGGCAGCTCATAAGAAGTGTGGATAAACTGTTTCCACAACATCGGCCAACCTAGCCTGGAGTAGCTCTCATAAAGAGGCTCTCTGTGTGATGAGTGCTGAGGTTGCATCTCTGGGTGGCAGCACTGCCAGCAACACACATACTGGAGGTTCTGGGCACTACGAATTAAAAATGTTGCGAGCAACTGTGAACAGATTCCAGTGGGTAAAATGTTAAATGTTACGATTAAAAACACATTCACTCACAATTGGACGATCGTCATTTCGTCTTCTCCCCTGTAGCTGGTGCGTCTGCAGAGATATAACAGCAAATCACAACCAATGGCAATATTTCTTACACCGTACGTAGTGCTGGAATAAAGGCCTTAAAATTGACAACTCCAGCCAGACGTTAAGGCATGTGAGCCACCTCCCGTACAGGCGCTGAGATGAATATTTAATTAACATCTTTGAAATGTGCCTCATGTTCACAACCCAGCCTTTAAAAGCTTGCCAAGGGACCAGAGTCGTTCAGGAGAATGTTTAATGCGCGCAAGTCACAATCCATCTCGCGAGAGGAACACGAACACACCGAATATATAAAACGATATTTTCTTGCTATACAGCATACCAGGCATTAGCCAGCACTCAAAATAACCGTAGTCGTTGCTATTATCTCATGACGCTATTTAATTATGTGGGGGTCACACCAGTACGTGTAATAGTAAATAATATGGCCATAATTTTACAGTCTTTATGTAAAGCCCTAACTCTGCTTAACATAACCACCAAATAAGCATCTCTGACACACATTCAGCTGCCAGAACAGATACTCTGTCAGCGTGGAGAGATCTTTATCCAACAGTGAATAGTTCATGGCAGATGATGATGGTATTAACAGAAACAATGTCAAATGTTATCATGCAATAGAGTAACGCAAATTTTGATTTAAAGCTTTCGTGACTGCAGGGATTCATCTTCTTGGTTCTTTCGGTAAAGTCACGTAGAAGGGAAGTAATAAAATAATAAAAAATAAAACATAATAATTGTATTATTATTTTATTACTTCCCTTCTACGTGACTTTACCGAAAAGAACCAAGAAAAAAGTAACGCAAATGTCGGAAATGGCTCCAACTTACAATGAAAGTTTAACCCGAGCCACATTAATGAACACCCCGACGCTGGACGTGTAACGTCCACAAAGCGACTGCACCTCGGATGATTCCTCTGGCACTATTCCGGGGCATTAGATGGACCCAGCCAAAAGGAGACGATCCCCTATTAAGAATTCAATGTCACTTATCTGACGCAACCTTGTATATCCTACCCAAGCATTAAACAGATCTGACCCCGCTAAGCCTCTAAGACCTGATGAGATCAGGCCAGCAGTGTTAATGCACTGTCGTCACTAACACGTACTATAAGTTTGAAGAAAGTGGGATCACGACAACGCAATGTCAGACGTATGTATGCGTGTTGAACTTGTTTCATAAAAACATGACGGAATGTCAAACGGGCAAAAAAAATACGATAAATGCAAGGCTTTGAACACTTGCGCTTACCAAAAACAAAGATCCCCCGCCCCCCCCCCCCCCCCCCGGTATAGCCTCAGCAGACTGCTGGGGCAAGTGCTGTTAGCGTGCAACCACTCGCGTGCGCTGCCAAGTGTAAACACACTGCTTGTGCAAAGCCACACGGTAGCGGCAGGGCTTTGTTTTGTGTCACCGCGAAAAATGCGCTTGATGGGGCACAGTCGTGCGCTCGTTGCTCAACGGGTGTTGTAATCACCTTCCCCTCCCTGTGGGCGCGAAGGCTTCCTCAGCGGCAGCGGTGGCAGTGGCGGCGGGGTGCTCCCCCCAAGCGGGGTGCGAGTCTCTCCGTCCGCGCCAGGTCCTCCCTGACCCAGCCGCCACCTCGGTGCGGGCCGACGCCTCTCCCCGCTCACTCGACAAAGGGGCTTCGGCCTCGATAGCGAAGCCGCCGGAAGGCACGGCGTTCGCGTTCTTGCCGTTTTGCCTGCGAGAAAGCGGAGAACGAGCGGGAAAATCGTACGTGACCGTAACATTACGGACGGGGGGATGGGGAAATAATTCCTGCAACAATCGTAATCAATTCGTAATTATTCCATCCCGGACGATTTTTTTTTCAAGCAATGACGATTCTTATGCTGTATAGGCGATTCCCGTGTTAAAATCTCCATTCGTTGGGGATGGGATTCTAGCAGCGATTCTGCCATGGAAGGTTCAAACATCCTGGCTGAGGGTAAGGACCATGCCGAAGCTGGCCTTAACGAGACTAACGAGACCATCAAGGTGCTGTAGTCCCTCCTGCTTTGCTTGAATGCTACAATAATAGGAACCTCTGTTTTATAAAGCACCTTTCATATTGAAGTATCTCAAAGCGCTATACATGGAAATACAAACTACACTCACAAGTATAGATACAATCTAAGCAAAATAGAAAGCTGATAATAACCATATCAATGACTCCACTCGAAATTCCAATAAAATGAAGAACTATGATAACATCGAAGGATAATAATTGCATAGTAATCCAATCGGACAACAAATATGATTTTCAAATCTTAAGTTACGCGGAAAGCCTGCAGTACAAACTGCCGAGTTTTAAGCCGCGATTGAAAAAAGTGAGACTCAAAATCCCCAACGGACCAAGGGGAGGGGATTCAACAATTGCGAAGGCTGGCTGCAGAACGCTCCGTCTCCCATACAATTCACCACAGCCTTCTCTTTGGAACGATAAGTAGACCAGGATCAGCAGATCTGAGAATTGGGAGTGGAACCCGGTCTTCTCTTTGGAACGATAAGTAGACCAGAATCAGCAGATCTGAGAATTGGGAGTGGAACCCGGTCGATTCCAAGCACTAGGCCTTATGTTTTAATGGCATTTCTGGCCAATACCACCCGACTGAAATCAACTCAAATACCAGCCGGCCGGCACCACCCAGATTCGCCATTTGAACGTATCGCATAAGCGTCTGCTATTACACCTTTCAATGCCACGCCGGGGCACTGCACAGCCCAATCCCCTACCCCACCCTTGACTCTACGAGGCTGCTGATCCCACGATCCATTGAGGAATCGTATTTGATTACAAGAATCAAACTGAGTTGCGCTGCTGAGAATCAAGAGAATCGCCCAGCTGTAATCTACATCGGTGCGTAATATGCGTTTTGCTGTACTTTTATTTCTGTACAAAATCGCACTGTGCGCTGGTGAACGTGACTTACGTTTGTCGACAACACTTGACGAAAACACCAACACAACCCAGTAGTAGCATTCTTTAATGGGCCACGCCATGCAGACGCGACTCTTGAGCATTCAAAGTGTTGTAGAGTGAGTGGTTTGCCTCGTTTAGATAAATTCAACAGGAATACATTGATCCAAAAGAGCCCCATTGGGTCACTGCCTTAGACGTAGAATATTAGGGTGATTTTCTTCCGAGAAGAAATCTTTATACGGACGAGGGGGGGGGGGGGGTCGGGTGTGAGACGAATAGGGCTAGGAGGGGAATAGGGCTACAGTGCAATTTGAGTGAAAAATTTATTGTGGGACAGACGAATCATAGGCAGAGAGAGAAGAGCATGACCTGGACGATGATTTCGATTATGATCATGTCATCACCACCATAGTCAACACGGCACCGAGCATGGGCTAGAAGATGGGGTGTGTAACTATCTCAGAGGGAGGGAGTTCCAGACTGTGGGACGCAGAAGAGAAGAAGCGAATGCCTCACACCTCATCTTCTAAATGCACGACATCTTTAATAACATCGGTACTAAATCGTCATTTTTCAAATTATTAATTACACAATTTGGTATCTTAACAGAGTCGGGAAGTGAAATATTACCTGTAAGTTTGGGGCATCTTTCTGTGCGATTGGCCCATTCTGCAACAACAACCAAAACATCAATCGAAAGCATTTAAATAATATTTAAAATTAGATAAGATCTGTCGGGAAACATCAAAGAAGTGGAAATTATCGATGCTTCTGAAGTTGTCCTTTGGGTAATGAATTCAAAATTTAAAAAAATCAATACAAGTGAAAAAAATGTGAAACGCCTTGCTCTGAATTGTTAAATTAAATATTTTTCAAGCTGTGTTACAACTTAAATAAGGGATAAATTCAAAGCATTTTCACGACATTATGCAGGTCTTGTTTTCTACATTTCTAATGCCAATTCTGTTTTGACTATAAACATGCCATGTCAGTTTACAAACAAGATTTTAATATACATATTTAAAGCAATGGCTTTATATTCTAAAATTTCTCTAAAATGAGTCAAGATTTTTTGTTTGTTTTCCAGCACAAGTCCAAAGGCACTAATGTGATGTGGTTCATAACGCGAATGCACATTGTTGTCTGTCAGTTACCTGCTTCTCCAAAAGTGCTGTCTTGTTCCATTCGGCAAAAGTGCACTGGTTTTGAACGTTCCCGGGTATGTGTATCCATTCATATAACCCATGCTGGAGTAAGGTGCCTGAAAAAGGCAATGAATGCCATGACAATCATCAAAATATTCGGAGTAACCACGGGGGTCACATTGCCTCCCTGCTCACGCGAGCATGGGCCCATCTCTCTCGTAGTGGCCCAAAGCCAGTGGTGGAAATTACACAATGCTAGGGCAAGGGTCAGTCTCCAGAAAACAACCAAGTTCCATTTGGCACGCTCGAGCTAGGAGGCCACCTCTTAGCATCGACTGACATTGAAGGTAAACGACCTCCTCGGCAAAGCCCCGGACTGTAAAAATACAAGCGATCTGGCCTTGGGCGATTGGATTGGAGCCTGGATCAATGGGATGGAGAGAGTGTGCACAATATGCATTACGTGACACAGGTTTGAGAGAAGAAGCGACTATGGGGCAATGCTCATATCCACTGTAGGCCCTGAGCACAATGAGCAATAGTATACTCCCCGATGCAGACAGCATGAACTGGTTCTGACTGCCCCCTATGTCACCAACCTGCACTGACCAGCATGGTGAAGTATGGTCAAAGAACCTACATGACTGACACGGTATGGGGAGGTCTTCATCCAACATTGGATTGAGGAGGGGCAGAGAATGATTATTATTGTTGCTTGTTATAAAATATCTGCGAGACCAGAATCACTGGCCACAGTTATGGGTCGATGACCTACTTAACACAACAGAAGCCCGGTTGATGCACTCGCATTTTTCAATGAACTCGTTAAAGTTTTAATTGGTCAATTTCCTTCTCTGGAATCAATGGATGTATTTATAGCGTTTCTCATGTCACTGTGAGCCTCCTTTCCTGAATCGAAACGTCAGACATAGTTCCAAACAACCCTGCAGCACAACCAAAAAACACATCGGTGAGAGATTTGTCTTTGAATCTATCTTTGATCCTTTAGGTCAGGGCTCGGCAACCTGCTGCTTCGGAGCCGCATGCGGCGGCTCTTTAAGGAACTGCAGTGCGGCTCTTAAAATTCTAGAAAAAATGGCTCTTCTGACCAAGGAAGTCCAGTTTACCATGGGCAGGGGTCATTAAGGACTCTTTCGTGATGTTATTTATGAAGGACCGAGAGCTCGTGTTCACATGCATTGCGTCTCTTGAAATATTTTTAACCAAATTGGAAAAAAATGTCTCGTGTTGTTTTGGTTGCCGACCCCTGCTTTGAGTGATCCACAAGTGGTAATAGTAATAATAACAGATAAAGCAAAACATCCACTAACTTCACGCGTGGCACCGTTGCCAAACAGGTGGCTGGGAGGTCCGAGTCTCGCTCGCGCGTCAGGGCCACAGCAGTGCCGAGGAGAGCAGGGACTCACCAGAGACGCATCCACGTAGGGTTGGGCCGTGGTCCATCCCGCGGCTGGGACCCCGTAGAGGGAGTACTGCGGCTGAGCGCCCTGGGGGCTGTACACGGGCTGCACGAACAGCGGCACCACAAACTGGGGCGCCGGCTGAAGGCTGCCGCTCCCCATCAGCGGGTAGCCTTTCTTCGGTGGTGCCGACGCAAGCGCCACGGGCCTCGCCTTGATGCGGACCTGGACGGCCGTGAGTGGGTAACATTGCCCCGTGTTAGGTAAGGGTATAAGTGGAGCCCTGCGATTACTCGCTCGTGCCACTGCCTCTCATGTTTGAAACGGCTCTATTAGTTTTCTTTATTGAGAAGCATTTCTCGGCAGCAGGGCATACGGGAAAGTTTACCCCCAGTGTGTGGATAGAGCCCACTTAATTTTGTACTCAGAAGTAGTTCTGTGAGAGTATGAAAAATAAGAATAGGTATTACCCTTTCTGGCAATAAAATGGGATGGAGAGAGTGTGAGAAGTAGTTCTGTAAGAGTATGAAAAATAAGAATAGGTATTACCCTTTCTGGCAATAAAACAGGTGTTAAGATGTTAAAACACCAAACTGAAACCTTTTACAAGGAATCATGTCTGCATTAACCACAATGCTTGTGGTCAGAATGCAAACAAAAAAGTACTCTGATAATATATGCATTGTCTTTGAAACTGATTGGTCCACACCAGAGACAGCTTTCTTTTGAGCCTAGTCTCAAAACGGTGTTAGACCAGAGGACGTCAAAAGGCGTTTGCATTTTGGTACTGGCAAAGGAGGTCCCATGATGTCGGTGTTAAGATGTTCAAACACCAAAATGAAACCTTTTGTTTGCATGTTTGTTTGCATGTTCACCATACGTACTTGTGGTCAATGCAGACTTGATTCCTTGCAAAAGGCATCTTTGGTGTCTGAGCATCTTAACACCTGTTTTATTGCCAGAAAGGGTAACCCCTATTCTTCTTATTCATACTTTTGTAGGGGTATCAGGGAAAGGATTCCCACCAATAGGAGGAGGAGTGGGACGGTGACAGGAGAAGGGGGAGGAGCAAGTGAGGAGATATAAGGGAGAGAACAGGCGGGAAGAGGGGTTGGTTGGCGGGATCGAGATTGGGGCGGCTGGGGACAGCTGTGGATGGGAGAAAAGGAATAAAAGACGAACCCCCTGCAACCTTGTGTCGGCTCTCCTTTACACTTTGATAATGGCAAAAAGGAGGTCCCATGATGGAGTTCTGTCACAGCTGCTTCTGCGGGCCATTCTCCAGCACATGCAGTATGCACCGCCATGTGAGAGTTCTGAATGGGCTCTGTCACATGACATGATGCTGACAGTGCAATTAGAATAAATTATAAACGCAATGTTTTGCTGGAAATTCTTGGGGGCCTTTAGAAAACATGAAAAGTCTTGACATAGATGTCCCACAAGATTGACATAATCCGCACATCAAAGTTTTTCCACTGATTTGCATGGTTTTTTTCTGAATACTCCAATCTCGTACAATGCGATAAATATTAATTTCGGGAAACTGGCCTAACTTCCCATGACAGGACTTCCTACGCAAGTATTGCACCTCCGCTAAGCACGGTCGGCTGTACACTCTCAGTAAAGCTTTCCAAGATAAAGGACACGACAGTACAGTGTTATAAGATTGTCAATGATAATAGAAGGTGAATCCCAATATCGACCATCAATTGGAGATTGCCATGTGGTCGTAATTGACAAGGAGAGTTTATGTCCCGGCTGTCTGGATTTCACGACCACAATGATGCCCCCGTATTAATATTGTCCATTTTCATTGACCCTGATGTACGTAATTTTATATATCGTTTTGCTGAGAAAATCTCCGACCAAAATTGCCGGTCGGCGCTGTGTGGCGCACAACGCGAACTCACCAAGAGGGGCTTGCCTTGAAATGTCTTCACCTCTTCTCGGAGGAATTTAAACGCCTGCAATATATCAAACCAGGCTCAATAAAATATACATTTTACTTCCCTTTTTTCACAGCCACGTTTGTGGCCCCAGCTGAGACTAACACTTTGCTACACCAGAGAACCAGATGTGATCTCAAGATGACCACTACGATTAAAACACAGAATGGATGTAATTTTGGCCTGTTGCTATGACACACAAAATGCACTATATTAGCCACCTATGCTAGAGCGCTACCTCCATTGCAAAAAATATCCATCATAGAAGGTTTTTTCGTTTAGATCGCCTCAATATCAATGTAAGAGTAAACCCACAAAATTTACAATTACAACCCACAACATTTACAATTGTTGTGAGTTTTTTACTCTCCAACACACTGGTGTGCTGAATTAGTAACTAATTGGCAGGCTTGGTTTACGTGACAAACCTTACTGATTGGCTGTGTCGGGTGGTGGGCAGGTTTAATGATAACATTTATATTTATGCGATCTAACTAAAAAAACCCTCTTATGGATAATATTGGTCGCGAAAGTCTACTACGTGTTAAAATTGCAAAAAGTTACGTTTGAAAAACAAACAAACTTCTGCTCCGCATCGCCGATTCCATTTACAGGGGTTAGGTTATTGTGTGCCAATGTCACCACCTACATTTCAAACAAATTACGAAAACTAATGACGCTTAATTAACTGTACCATTACCCAAGGTCAAACTGGGTTCTCGCCAAGTCCTAAAACGGAGTAGGCATTACACAAAACATGCAGAACTTCGTGATGCAATACACAGATCGGCTCACGAGCCGTCGATAACCCCGTGAAGTCCGTCGGGGAAAGACAACAAGGGGCTGCTGTGGGACTCAACGTGGTTCAGAGAAAGCCGGGACAAAATATCCCCGTGCTTCATCGGGGTTAGCCGAAATCCTTTTGGTGTACCTTCATGTGTATATATACGCATATATATGTAGCTGTCAACAAAGGATAAAGGTACAGCCCTGCAATTGCTTGCTCACGCCAATGCGCTCTTGAGAGCCCCTCTTGAGGCCACTCGGCCCACTCGCCCACGGTCGGTGGCCAGACGACTTTTTGGAGAGTACCCACACTTGACCTCACCACATGTGACCTGTTGATCGGCCAGCTCCGGTGTACCCATTTATACCCATTCAGTACCTCCGTTTAGCACGGTTGGCCACGTACGGTGCGGAAGAAGTTCAACGTACATACACAAACTGCTCGCTGGACAGAGGCGAGGGAATTAAAACAAACTTGCCCCATTGCATTAACTGCCGCGCCAAGGAGATGGAGTCGAACCGGCGACCTCTGGAGTTGAGGTCAGGTGCGCGAGCCATAACACCATTTCAGCGCCCCACATATAGACACAGGCGCCTCTATGTGCGACATGACCTCACCTGCTGGGCATCCTCGTCTGAGTCGAAGGTCACGTACCAGTTGCTGTTGTGAGCAAACTCACAGCTGCTCAGCTTGGGGCAGTTCTCACTGCTGAATATCGCTTCTACCTCCTGCACGGACACACAGACACACACACAAACACAATATCATGTCAATGCTATCTTTATCTCCTTCACAATGCAAACAGCGCAATGCACCGGGGTCACACGCAGCACAAAGCAGTATTTATAGCAACACTCATTGGCCACTTAGCACGTACTTGCTGGTAGTACGTGACCCAACAGTCTAACTTGCCTCAACAGAATGGGGGGGGGGGGGATCTCTGTCTTTTTATAGCAACGGTGTTTCAACCTGATATGCATTAGATGCAGAGTTCGTCACGTTCACGTAAAGTGGCGCGCGGTTCATTTAGACATTGAATGTATGCTCGAAAACATCAATTTTAAACGTGAACATTTTGACCCCCTGTTATACAGGGTGCCGTGGTAGCGAGATGTTAACTACCTCGCCTGGTATGCGGGAGGTCGTGGGTTCGATCCCAACCCTGACGCCTGCTGCTGCTGTATATTTGGAGTTTGCGTATCGCTCCCCGTCGTCTCTTGGATTTTTCTCCGGGTCCTCCAGTTGTTCCCTCCACATTTAGAATCAACATGCGTTTAGAGCATTTGGCTGCCATACATTTCCACGTGATAACCCACATTGTTGAGCTATCAGTTGTGGCCAGATCACTTCTGAAAAACAGCTACGTAACTCAGTGGGGGCCTTAGCTGGTAAAATAAAATATAGTTTAGTTTAGATTCTACATATCAATACTTTAAAATGTACATGGAAGGATTTGAATTGAGCACTGACCCCATCGCTGTTATGCTTCATGAGCTGAACATGGACTGTGATGCGGATTCGAAGACTCTAAATCCCCCGCTACACTGCATCAAACTGGCGAACGCAGAGCAATGGTGCAGCGCAAGGGATGCCAATTAATTTATGAGCCATCACAGAAAGAATGTGGAATCCATTTGAATTAAAACTCTATCGGATGAGTAATTAGATTTAGCCACGCTTTGTTAAGTATTCAATCTTTCGGTCGCTCCCACAGGAATGCACAGCCCCATTATCGATCCACTGCTAGATGAAGGCCTTCCCAAGGCTGTGTCGCTCATGGGGGTTTTGACCGTACGTCACAACGTGCGGGTCGAGGCTAATATGCACAAATTAAAAGCGTTCATGTGTATTCATTCTAGATTTGTGTAGTCACATTGCTACGCTGCTTCTCATCATCGAGGTCAGATCCTTTAAAGTGCCCCCAATCTGCCGTCGTCATCATTTATTGCGTAATTTTTATCCAGTCCCACTTTCAATAACCGCCCACAGTAGACTCTTGATGTGTCTGCTAGTTCTTCTTCTTGGTTCGTTCGGTAAAGTCGTCACGTAGAAGGGAAATAATAAAATAATAAAACATAATAAAATACAATTCTCACGACGTTTCGGCCACAACGCAAGCAGCCGTCCTCAGGTGAAGAACAGGTCTGTCGGAAAGACAGCGTCTGAATGAGCACCACCAAGCTTGGCAGCGTATATTTAAGCTGGGTTGGAGGGGTACCGCCAGCAGATATATTACATTACTAATATAGAGATAAATGAAATGTTCTTGATAAAACGAATAAAACACTTGCATTTATTTATTGAGCATGGCTTTCTAGTATCGTCTGCTATATGTAGTTACAAATCAGTCCTAAAAATTCATTGCGACACTTTTTAATTATCCACTATGGCCCACATTTGGGGTGGCAGAGTGGCAACGCTCATGTCTCACAGCAATTAGGCCTTGGGTTCTATTACAGATTCAGGAATCTTTTCTGTGTGGAGCTTGTACGTTCTCTCCCCCTGTTATGCACGGGTTTCCCACCCGGGTTCTCCGGCTTCCTCCCATAACTAAAAAAAACACTTTGGCCAAGCATCCCAACTCTGGAACTTGACCTGCGAATTACTCAACCGGGATTGGACGGAGAGATATCGCCCCCTTTTGTGAAAATGTGGCAGGAACCCTCCTGAAGAAAAGAGTGTTGAGACTCATGTGAGTGAGGCTCTCCTGGCTAAATAACAATGGCTGAAACACATAATCTTGAAGGTTTGCCCCATTGCTGGTAATGGGAGGCCAGATAACAATGAACATTCATCAACATGTGTGTGTGAATAGACTATTTAGGCAAGTGCTGTTAGCGAGTAGCACCTATAAAAGGCGGCACAGCACACGAGGAGGTGGGTGGCCAGCACCATGCCCAACCACCTTTGTCTCCCTAGTGGCAATGTTTACACACCGCACCAGGTAATCATTTGAGGCTGAGTCGACCTAGGGGAGGCCCAGAACCAGCTGAGATATTCATCACTGGTCTTGGTCATGAGCGGGAATCGAACTCGGGTCGCCGGGTTTGTAGCGCAGTGCGCTAAACGCTACACTACCGCTCCCCTTCATTGGTAGGGCAAAAACAAAGATCCCCCATATATTATAAACAGATTGTCGATTGTCGGGACAAATGCTGTTTGCAAGCAGCACCTATGAAGGCCGGCACGGCACACGAGGGAGTGGGTGGCCAGCACCACGCATGGTCGCTTTTGTCTCCGCAGTGGCGATGTTTACACACCGCGACAGAGTACTTATTTGAGGCTGAGTCGACATAACACGCATGCGCACACCACACAAACACACACTCGTGTACCTCGACAGGAGTGCTCTCGGGAATCTCTCGCAGGATGACGACGGAGCGCGCGTGGTTGGGCCTCACCTTCTCCCCCTTCTCATCGACGTGAACAATCGCTGAGGCTGCAGCAGGACAATGACATCGCAGCCTCTTGTTAGGGACACACGTCAAACACATTTCAAACCGCAGGCCTCAACTTCACCCTCACCATGTATGTATGTGTGATGAACTTCTTTCGCACCGTACGTAGCCAACCGTGCTAATTGGAGGTGCGGGGATAGGATAACAAACTATGGGTCTCTGTGTGAGTCCATGGGTCTCTGTGTGAGTCCATGGGTCCCTGTGTGAGTCCATGGGTCTCTGTGAGTCTATTTATGTATATGTGTTGAACTTATTTCGGACTTCAAGTAGGTAACCGTGCTATTCGGAGGTGCGGGGGAGGGAAGGACAACAGACTACACAACAAAAAGCAGTTCTAAACAAATTCGTTTTCAATTCAGATTTAAAAGTGCATAGCTCCAGTGGCTTCCTAATTAACCGTGACACGAAAAACCGCCGAGCGAACTTGTACTCTGCGTGTATGCAATCAGTCGTTCATTCATTACAGTCGCCCTTGCTAGTCCTGTATGTTGACAGTCTATTTTGTCAAAACACTGCAGGATGAGGGTCTCCACCACGCCTTGTGAACCGTGGGAGTTGTTCAACCATATTTCACCACGCTGGCCATGGCAGGTTGGTGAATCGGAGTACAATGGATTTCGCTGCACTGCCCTCTACTGTCCGCAGTGCCCATTACACGTGTATTTTTATATGGTGGTCGCCCAACCAGGCCCTATGCAGGCCCAACGTCCACCAGGGAGACAGGAGCGATGAAATCTGCTCGCGTGCAGGTACTAGGTGGATTGTTCCATCGCATGGGCTACTGAGTGTGCGGTCCTGCACACACTCTGCGCGCTTGCCACAAATTAACCACAATACCTTGCTGATTTTGTGAAGGAGCATAAACCATCACACGAACTCCGGTCATCATCGCAGAAGCTTTTGGCTAACGATCGAATAAAGACGATCACTTCATCACACGCTTTCAGATGCCCTTCTGCGGCCATCTGGAACGCTCTTCCTTTGGATATTAGGAAGCCATTGGAGCTAAGCACTTTTAAATCATCTAGATTGAAAACAAACTTCTTCAGAACTATTTTTAGTGTTTAGTTTGATGTCCTTCCCCCGCACCTCCAATCAGCACAGTGGGCTGTGTACAGTGCGAAGGAAGTTCAACATGAATACATAGACACAAGGTGTGATAATTCTACTCGTAATTCCCAAAAGCAATTACAGAGTGGCTGTAGAAGCAGACCTGATGACTCTGTGCTAATTGGAACATTGGCGAGTCAATTGACCTCTATGCTACCCAGCCACGCTATCCAGCGAGCATACCTTCGCGATTCAGTATCATGCCAGCATTAGTAATGGAATTATGTGAAATCTGAAGTTGTTAACCTCAGTTAACCCAAACCCTCACATATCCATTTAAACCCATTGATGATGCAATTTACATCCATTCCATTTGCACGCAATCCATTATGTGCGTGTCTATACACATATATTCCTATTGTGCTAGCCTTATCACTAGGCCAAACCTACAGACTCGATCTAACATAATCAAGTTTATATTTATAGCACCCCTTCACTCAAGGCGCTTAACATACCTTACAAAGCGGTGAAAGAATGGAATGATTTCACTGGCACGGGCATGCTACAAGGATTGAGGAATGAGTGACAGTGGCAGAGGGGCACTCAGGGATCACGAAAGATTAGGGGAGGGCTGGGAAGGTGTGAATGGGGCGAGGGGGGGCAATGGAGAAGAGGTGAGGCTTTAAGAGAGCAATGGACAGAGGTTAAGGAGGGGAGACTGCGTAATTTACAAGGTTTAGGCCACATGGGGTGGGGTGGTGGTGGGGTGGTGGTTGGGTGGTGGTTGGGTGGTGGTTGGGTGGTGGTTGGGTGCTGGTGGGGTGCTGGTGGGGTGCTGGTGGGGTGGTAGTTCGATGGTGGTTAGACAGTGGTGGTGGGGTCTCACCACAGACATTTGGCCGGATCGTCACGCGGCCTAAACATACGCGTGAAGCCGCAACCTCCCGTTTGACAAATACCGGTGGCAGGAAACAGTGAACGTACATCTGAGGACCTCGACGATGAGGTCCATGTCGGTGGTCAGCCGTTTGACCTGGTTGAAATTGGCGATGGTCCATATGGGCACGTAGTGCTCGCCGTCCATCTGGGCTACCAGGTACAAGTCCTTGGCCAGGTTCTCCCTGAAAGGCAAAGCGAGTTGTGTGTCACAATCAAGGCCTTGGGAGACGCACAATCAGCTACCCCACGTGTGCCTCGTTCACATTGGTGGCATCTGCTGTCCATACAAAGTACCGTACTGTATTGTGAAAATAAAACGGTATAGTAACTCAAACACTGGGAAACAGGTTAGAAACATGCATTCACCCGGCACGTTGCGAGCACAGCTACGAATGGTATATGCATTTGTTTACTGAAGGTAAGGGATGCTGCCACAGTTAAGTTTGATCTGCCAGCGTGGCAGTTGAACCAAATGGGCAAGATAATTAAATCCCTCCACCCCACCTTTGTCCACCAACAGTGGGTGCCGCGGTGGTAAGATGTTAACTCTCACGCTTGGTATGCAGGTTGTGAGTTCGATCCCCAACCGTGACGCCTATATAGTTTGCATGTTCTCTCTCCCCGTGGTTGTGTGCATTTTTCTTCGGATCCTCTGGTTTTTCCTTCCACATTTAGAAACATGCATTTAAAGTATTTAGCTGCTATAAATTTCCACGTGATAAGCCACTTCGTTGAGCTATCACTTGTGGCGCGGTCACTTCTGAAAAAGAACTATACACCTCAGTTGGCCTTACCTGGTAAAATAAAAAAATATATTTATAGTTTATTATTCGGCTGCTATAAATGTCCACGTGATAAGCCATTGAGCTATAATTTGTGGTTGGGTCGCTTCTGAAAAAGGGCTAAATAGCTCAGTGGGCCTCACCTGCTAAAATAAAAAGTTACATTTTGTTGCATAAGCAAGCAATTGCAGGGCAGCACCTTCACCCTTTTAAAACATATTTTTGTTTATGCATTTTACTGGAACCCAAAGAGTCAAGGTCTTCTTTATCTGTGCAAGATTTTTCAAGCCAATATTCTGGAAAATGGTCAGTGTTCTCTCACTGGCACAGAGGCAATAAGGGTGAGGTAAAGGGCATTCGTTGGTATTTGTGAAGGTCAAATTCCCACTGCATACTGCCCGATATTTCAGTGCCAAAAATATCACGCTTTTAGCTCAGGTCTAAATTAGATGGAGAAGCATACTTTTGGGAGTGGCTGGGATGAAGACATACAAACCCTCTTTCATGGGATTTCTTTTTAATCTTTGACACAAGAGGAATTATTGAAAATAATTAGTTTCATTGTCAAATTCCAGATACGTCAAGGCATCCTATCACAAGACTTGACATGGAATAATAACCACGTGAATAACTTACGGAGACAACATTATGTACACATAAGAACGCAGCCAACATCTTCCGAGTCCTGTCTTGAAATGTCACGTCCGATGGAGCATCTTAACATACTGTGGCAGTTTTTCACTGTATCGCATATCAGGTAAAGATATATTGGTGTAATAAAACGGAATACGATTTGGCTTTCCACAGCATCACAACACGCAGAGTATCTATCGCCTTGTCATGATTCAGTGCCGTGTCAATGCGCAATGAAGGCGAGGTGGGAAACAAGCAGATATATAAGCAGGCCACTCGCTTCATCAAAGAAGACGTATTTCATTCACTCTCTCCCACACGCAACTATAAAACGTGGCTGTCACGGATGACACGGCCTTTCTCAAGGTCAACCCAAATGTCACCGGTTTCTTGCGCCTTTTTGAAGCAGCAGAAACCTATTTTTAGCCTCGTTGCACAGGGCCCCGGCCGCGACGTCACAACGCCAACGCGGCGCCGAGGCTGCAAACCGCACTGCGGGCGCGCCGATCGGCCGACCGAACGTCGCCGTCTCCACGTGGCCGCCCCACCGGCAGCTGCTCTCTCAAACAATCTGACAGGAAGACGCGAAGACCAACGTTCACACTTGGCGGTAAAATCTGGCGCTTTTCTCCAAAGAAAACCACAGAAAAACGCCAGGGTGTATCTTGGCCCTCGAATTAGCATCGGGCGATGCTCATCTTTGTTGGTGGCCGAGAGCCGCTTTTATAAGTTTCACATTCGTATGGCAGAGGACAGTCTCTCCAAAAAGGACAAATAACCATTAATATGTTTGTCACAAAGAGGCACAGATATTAACTGGCTGCAGACAGATGATGCGTCGAGTCAACTTCCAGCCAAGGTTAGAGATCGAAACCTTCCCACTGTGAAGAGAAAACATCTCCGTAACGGCACCACAAGCGTTTTTATATATATACACAAATACCACCTGAAAATAGTGCCAACATGTAAAACGGGGCCCATGGGTTGATGAAACGTTAGCTGACATAGGGCAGGGGAAATTACTGGGGAAGAGATTGTGAAACATCAACCGGTCGTCGGCAAGAGGGGTCCTTCACACAGCTCCAGACCGTATCGTTGGCTACCGCTTGTCTCGGTCTTACAGCCCTCGACTGTTCAGGCAATGTATTAACAAAAAAAAAATAAACTATTCCAACGGGAAATCAAAAGATTGACCCACACACGCCCGACGCAAATATCCAGGAGGCAAGCGATGAATGGCACTTCTATGCCAAACTAGGGGTGTGTGCGGTATTATTTACATCGCTCCCAGAATAAACTGAACCCTCTTCACTCTCCTGCGAACACCAGAGGCATTTCCCCTGAATCCTAAGCATGCCAAGAGCGGCCGCCATGGTGAGTTCCCTGCGCTGGGTAATGTACTCTAATCAACGCACAACGCTGTCTCTTCGTTGAGAAACCTATTGGGTGTAGGGGGTGTGGGGAAGCATGTCTGCTAAACTCACTGCATGAAATGTGATGCGCACAAACGTGTTTCTGTACCAACCCCACAAAGTCTGAAGTTGAAATGGCAATGGTTAAACCCAGCATGACATGTCACCAATTTATATGCAGTAGCCTGGCGTATTTATGACCCAATTTAAATTTACACGTCCGATACAGTGGCTAGGCAAATATTAATGTAAACAATTCATTGGGCCATGCCGGGTACAGTTTACTAGCGCAACCGGTTTAAAGGTCATGATAATGTAATTACTACCTAAAATTACCATATCGGACCACACCCTCCTCCACCAACATCATCACACCTTATGGACGTTGCTATATATACGCACACACATATGTTCCCTTTATAATGCAGCGTAAGTAAAAAAGAAAGTGGAGTTTTTAACGTTACAGCGCTTGGCTCACGACTATAAGGCTCTGCATTCAAATCCCACGTGGGAGTCAACGCTCGCTGATATCCTGCCCGGGTTTGATAACAAGGAAACCTTTTTTCTTACGGGAAGTGAACAGTGGATAGATTGACCCCGTCGTGGCAATGTGGAATTTCCACCACTTGGCCCAGGGTCTCCAATGGCAATGCAGTGCTATGCCATTGCTTGGTGCAGCAGGGAAACTGTTCGGATTTGTTTTTTGACTTTCACTGCAGTGCGAGCATAACCCCCACCCATCACTTCCAGCACGAGTCGAGATTCCTTTGCCCAGACATGGCCGGGAGGCTCAGGTGTCGGAATGCTGAGCTGGCACCATTGGAGGCCCTGGGTTCAAATCCAGGCAAGCCACCTGTGATTAAACTGGGCTCTCAAGTGTAGCGAGCTGACGTATCTTGGTCACTAATCACTCTTGTAGTTTGTTCAGTTATTGGTACTAGTAATATATTCACGAGTTTACATTTTTATGGATTCACAAAACCCAATGAGTGTGTTCTTTTGCCGGACATTTTTACTTTACGTTTTTCGCATGTCTATTGTAGACAACAAAACAACGTACGCAAACCAAGTGAAACGATCGCTTGTTTTTCTCGCACAGGCTGATATATTAAGATGTGGTCGATGTTTTAACACTACCTGGGGAAGTAACGATACCTGATAGCACAGAAAATATTTAACAAGGGGCATTGTTGTTTCCCTGCGTGTGTGTGTTTGACGAGAAGTAACCGCTGACCCCCCAGGAGAGACGATTCTGGTGCAGAATTCCCGAGATTACTACAGGCATAGGTTTCTGCGGTTGTGCACTCCAAATCTCAGATGTGTTTACGGGCTGTACGACATTTCCGCCATTTGCTGGGACCTTCTTCATAACTTTAATACAATTCGCTTTGCTCTTTTTTTATGCGAACAACATTGTACCTTCTTGCCAAGTTGTAAGGGGCGCCAGAGTGGCGAGATGTTCACTACCTCGCCTGGTATCCAGGTGCTCGTGGGTTCGATCGCGACCTTGACGCCTGCTGTATATTTGGAGTTTGTATGTTCTTCGGTGGTCGCATGGATTTTTCTCTGGGTCTTCGGGTTTTTCCATCCTCATTCAAAAACGTGCGTTTAGAGTATTTGGCTGCTATAGATTTCCACCATTTAATTCAAGCCATTTCATTGACCTATAATTTGTGTCCTGGTCGCTTCTCAAATCGAGCTATATAGCTCAGTGGGCCTTACTTGATAAGTATATTGAAGTTCTTTCACACCGTACGTAGCCAACCGTGCTAATCAGAGGTAAAATGACAAAAAACTGTTTCAGTATCGGCGACCGAGAGGTGAGTAATATTTCCGTGTAGGTTTTCAGAGCTATGCAGTACGGCTCTAGCAGCAGCCGGAGAGAAACTTCGGATCTCAGCCGAACACAATTGCTGACCCACCCGTACTGGACATCAGTGAACAAGAGCTCATGGGATTACTCCGGTCTAAATAAAGATTCTGACTGTAAAGATTCTGAAATTGTGCGTTACAACTGGACAGCACAAGGAAGAGTTCACCGGCTTACACGCGTACCTGGAGAAGTAATACTCCAGCTGTTTCCGCAGAGCCTCCCGGAGCTCCTCCCCACACAGCACGGGCAGAGACTCCGCTTGCTCTCCCTGTCCTGCTGGTCACACAGAGAGTTTGCACACGCAAGGTTAAGCAGTCTCAACGCTGTTCCACAGCAGTGACAACAGAAACCACGTGTTCTCACCAACACCCAAGGTCATTTTCAGCCAATGAAAATGAGTAAAACTCTCTGCACACATGTTCCGCAGCTCAAGATGATTGCTCAAGACCAGTGGACAGGTGACACCGACGTTCAAGAATCACGTGGATCTCGTGATTTTCAGCCAATGAAAACTACCACGAACTAGGAGAGATGGGTGCAAGTGGAAACGCGTTAGATATGTATGTGTAAATTGACACCCTTCGATAAGAGATGTTCCACCTCAAGCAATTATTTAGGAAAAATATAATTAATAAGTAAATAAAAGATATTTAGAATGTGCAACATGTAATGACATCGTTACTCAAAAACACCCACAATACCCTGCAAGTCACGTAAAATGTATGGTTAGCAACCTGACCATTAATCATCATAGGATATAATTTGGCATTTTAGCTACACGACGATCTAACCCAAAATAAACGAGTCATGAATCGTAATATTGCTCGTGAAAGACTGCGTATAATATTTCCAGAGAAAATTGAAATATAAACATGTAAGAACCTCACAATTGTATTTAGATACTTCATAAATCAATTAATCAATAAAAATGCGATTACATTATACTTTGCCAAATAGGTTCTTGTTACTGAATACGTGTTAATGAAGCAAGGATGATGTATGATTGTGTTTACTGGAATTTAGTATGCAGCAAATATCATTCACAAAAACGAGCCAATAAGGTGAAAGTCAACACATAAAAGTGGCTGACTGCAAAAAGCCTCCTCTCAGTAACATTGTCTTATCTGCAATTGACAGACCCATGAAATGCCATTGTCTGTGACCATTTTTTGATCACTAAAAAGTCTGATGGTATTTGCTCGTCAGATTTAATCCGCGTAAACAAAAGCGCTTTGTCCTGCGTGCGATGTTCTCTGTTCTCAGCAGCATTGTGGCTTTCATAAGTGCAGTATTGCTGATACGGTCAACGTACGTTTCATGTCGCTTGGCAATGGCGTGCGTTGTGCGGTGCGTTAACAATCTGACAAACTGGCAGTACACGCATTCACGTGACACGTTACCGAAGGCCATGGAGATACAAGAATGGGAGTTAGAATCTATAAAATCCATGACGATTTCAATTTCCATACGGTGACAGCTCCTGCATTCGGAAATTAATTCCCGAGAGGGCAAATCACAAATAAGGTGGACGAATATACTCGACTGCATGAACAAAAAAAGGGGCTATTTTATACCTATGTGACTTTACCGAAAGAACCAAAGAGTATGGATTCCTGCAGTCACGAAAGCTTCAAATCAAGATTAAAAGGGGCTCAGTCGAGTGAACAGAATCAGTATTCATACTGGAGGAATCCGATGAGCTATGAAGCTCTTTTTCACAGATGCCCAGTAAACATTTGGTCATTGGACGCACAATGAGAGTGCCGGTTACAATAGGTACGATAAGAGGTAAAATTGAAATGGACAATTTGACATTTCTGGAGGGCAAACATCACTCTGTCTCCAACCTTCGGAACTGTGAACGTACAGAAATATGAAAAAATACCTCGTGGAAATGTTTTATTCGTTTAATATTTTTTTTTACTTTTCTGTTTACCCTATAACAAAAAAACTCAACACATCCACCAATAAGACCGTGGCCTTGAAAGCAAACGTAATAGTCAACATCCCCTACCTCTGTGTACTCTGAAAAAGGTCCATTTCCTTGAAAAGTCGCCTATTATATACTTTTCCTCTGAAGGTCACGGCGTTATTGATACACTTGTTGAGTCTATAACAGAGGTTTTTGGGTTAGATTGCATACATATAAACGTGTCGTTAAACCCGCCACCACCCGACAGCCAATTAGTAAGGTTTGTCGTGTAAACAAAATATGGCAATTAATTCGAGTGTAGTGACTGGGAATGTCACTGTGTGGTGCCGGACCTGCGAGGCCATGGCGGGATGTCTACTGTTGTGTGTACATCCCGGACACGGGGTGTAGTACCAGCCCTAGTGGGGGCTTGGGTGAGCGCTGGGTGAGCGTGGTGGCACCACACACAGCGTGCGGTGCGGGCTTCCGTTGAGAGAGCGAGAGAGTGTCAGCCAGCTAGGGTTACGTTGGGGGCATGATACTCTGGCTGACCTGGGGACATGTGACCGGAAGATACTGGAGGGGGTCCACTGGTGGAGGGGGCCAATGGGTGGTCACATGGTCCGAGAAGAACTCTCGAGAGCCTTCGGGCAAGGGAGAGAGAGATTGAGAAGGTGGGCGGGGCGAGAAGTGGAGCCAGCCCCAGCCCGGCCCAATATAAGGGGGGCCCTGTAAGGGGCTCGGGGTTCTTACTGTCGGAGAGGCAGGAGACCCACGTCAAACTTGAAGAAGCCTCCAGCCACGCGGTCCAGGACCCAGCTTGTGGTCCGGACCGGAATAGTGGAATCGTGTCTAGTTCCGCCGTAGTGTGGTTAGTTGGGTGGTCACCACCCGAGGGTGTGTTGTATCAATAGCCTGGAGTATGTTGTGCAAATAGTTTAATAAAACGTGTTGCTCCCTAAGACAACGTTGGACTCACTACACTAGCACAGCACACCGGTGTGTTGGAGAGTAAACCCATAACATTGTTGAGTCTGTCTGTGATTTGTGCTTGTAACATGACTGCCAAAGCAGCATCTCCGTGTAATTTGGTTAGACCTTAACAGTGCTGTTGAGGCGTGACCTATGAGCTTACCATCTCTGGCAACGTGCATGTGCGATTTAAATGAATCGGCCAGGGGTGAATCCACAGCACACTGCATGACATCCTTCACTTGGCCATTGGCACTGCTGCTGCCTGCAGGACGCACAGACGCACAGCTCAGGACAACAGCACAAGAACATCACAAGAAATACACCTTTCTGAAAATCCCGTCGCGCGCTTACAGACACGCTTCCGCGGCCGTCTGGACCGCTCTTTCTTCCGACATTAGGAAGCCACTGGAGCTAGGCACGTTTAAATCATCTAGATTGACAAACTAATTTCTTTACAACTGCTTTTTGTGTTTAGTTTGTTGTCCTTCCCCCGTACCTCCGATTAGCACGGTTGGCTACGTACGATGCAAAAGAAGTGCAACATACATACATGAATAAAACTACCATTGGGGTAAACGGCCATAGAGTGGGGGGGAGGCAGCAGTCCTCCCCCATGCCTTAGCTCTACGCGGGCCTCAAACAAGGCAATGGGGGTCTCTAGGGATAAGAACCTGGTGTCTGTGGGGCAAACATAACTTGTCGTCAGTACACAGCAGACAAGTCCTGGCGTCTAAGTGGCATATATCCCAGCATTAATTAGACAATTGTGAGAATGCTGTAAAATACTAAACAGTTTTACAAACAATCTTAGCCAGTCCTGCGTTATAAATAAGACAGACTGACTATACTACTCTAAGAAATGGCTAACAAAGGGTGCTGCACTGGAAAATGCCTTTCCCTTCTTTAATGGAAAATTGTATTTAAAAAAAGAACCGTAAAAAAAGGACTAATGGCAGTTTCTCATCTCTTCATTTGTAAAAGAACATTTGCTTAACATTTCTTTTAAAAGTTTCAATCACAGAAAACGGCAGATAATGTTTAATGTGATGTTCCACGCTTTAGGGGGTACACTAATGTGAAATGTAAATTCAGAAGCTCAATATATTCACTATAAAAGTACAAAAAAAGACCCCAAGAACTTTGTAATTCAAGGTCTTTTACGAAATTCTAAAATTTACATATTCAGACATCTTAAATTATTAATGGCTCCGACATCTTGGCAGGACGATACTGTACAGTAAATCCCCGTTTACCGCGCATTCACACCACACGTTTTAACTTTAACGCGTTTTTTCTTTTGCTTTATTGCTGGACATACACCGTACCCGCTATAACGCAAGTGTAGCGCGTGACGGACTACTCACGATAGTCTAGAGCATGACGGACAACTCGCTAAAACATGAGTGTAGTGCGTGACGGACTACTCATTATAGCGTGCGTGTAGTGCGTGACGGACTACTCGCTATAACGTGAGTCTGGAGCGTGACTGAGCAGCGTGGGTGTTGGGAGCGTTGTTCGGTGATGCTGAATCTGAGATAAAGATTGTGATTCCGATGCGCGCTGTGATACACGCCGTGCCTTCCCCATCCTCACTGTGTGTTCCTGCATCTTTGTGTGTGTCGCGTCATTTAGCTTTCCTCGTCTTTTTCATCCGCCATAGCTCTCCCCTCACACACTTCATATTTAAATCAATGACCGTCACACATAGCATATTTATAGAAATACTATATAAACACAACACATTTTAAACTAGACATGTAAAACAGTATACTGCACCGTAAAAAATAAAAACAATAATAAAATTACGGGCTGGAATGGCAGTTCCACCTTCACTGTTATTCCTTATGGGAAAATAACTCCCGCTTAGAGCGAATTTGCTTCACACGGCAATTTTCAGGAACGGAACCCCCGCGTTAAGCGAGGAATTGCTGTACAGTATTCCCTTGTTATTTACGAACTTGCTATCCGGATTTTGGCTATCCACGAATCGCGTCTGGAACTCCACACGACTACTGCATCGAGAGAGAGATAGAAGGAAAGTGATGAGAGAGGAGGTGATCAGAGAGGAAGTGATGAGAGGTAAAGTGATGAGAGAGAAATTGATGAGAGATAAAGTGATGAGAGGTTATGTGATGAGAGAGAAAGCGATGAGAGATAACGTGATGAGAGATGAAGTGATGAGAGAGAAAGTGATGAGAGATAATGTGATGAGAGAGAAAGTGATGACAGATAACGTGATGAGAGATAAAGTGATGAGAGGTAAAGTGATGAGAGGTAAAGTGATGAAAGAGAAAGTGATGAGAGATAACGTGATGATAGGTAAAGTGATGAGAGATACAGTGATGAGAGGTAAAGTGATGAGAGATAAAGTGATGAGAGATAAAGTGATGAGAGGTAAAGTGATGAGAGATAAAGTGATGAGAGATAAGGTGATGAGAGGTAAAGTGATGAGATAAAGTGATGAGAGATAACGTGATGAGAGGTAAAGTGATGAGAGATACAGTGATGAGAGATACAGTGATGAGAGATAAAGTGATGAGAGGTACATTTTTGAGAGGTACATTTCTGAGAGGTAAAGTGATGAGATAAAGGGATAAGAGAAATTATGAAAATAGAGTGATGTCAGACCATGTGATGCGTTACGATCATTTTCATGTATTTAATAGTTTTTTACGTATTTATTAAAGGTAAATCATAGGCCAACATCACTATCCGCAGAATTTTCTCTCCACGAGCATCTCCGCAACGTATTCCTCGCGAATAACGAGGGAAGCGTGCGCCGCAAATCATCTGATGCCCGCTCACCACCGTCCAGCCCGTTAACAGGGCTCTTTGAACTTTGATCGTTGGGTGCGTCCAGGCCATTGCCGGAGGGCTCACTTCCAGCTGTAGCTGGGCCAGCTGCTCCCGCTGGAGGGCTCTGCCAAGCCTTAGCACATGGGTTCAGGCCCGAAGGCAGGCAGCCATCCTGCAGAGATAAACAAACGAAGCACGATATAAAAAAAAACAAATTCAACGCCAGCACTCAAAACCCACGTGACTGTGTCTGCATCGGTTTAGACCGTGCAACCACAAATGCGTTATTGCATAATCCACACGGAGGGCGTGTGTCAGGGTAGGCAAATTCTGGTGCGACCGTGAACGTCGTGGCAGGAAAAGGACATTCCAGTTCCCTTCAACAGTGACATTTCTGTTGTCATGTTTTTACAAAGTCTTTTTTTTATCCCCATTAAGGTGAAAGAAACGGGAAGAATCACTGCTTAAAATAAAAACAAGGCAAATTACCAGCACTGTTTTTTGTTTACTCATTTGAATATTTTAAAAATAGATTTTTTTAATGAACAGGGATATGATTGAACTGTAAACACTTAAAAATGTAGGCATACGCATGAGACATTAATAACACATCGCACATTTCCACCACAATCACGTACACGGTGTCAAATACGGACGGCACAGACGTGACACGCGCACGCCGTGAAGTGACATCGGCTGTGGCACGATTACCACGGTTGGCTAAGTACGGTGCAATAGAAGTCCAACATACATACCTACACACAGCAGGAAACCCGATGCAAGATCACAAGCAACATGGGATGTCAGTGAGGCGAGGTATAAGTGAACAAAACGTTGCTTTTCCTTTAAATATGTATCTTCTAACTGGCGGTACTTCCGATGATAAACACTGTGACGTTTTTTCTGATATAATCACTGCGTTCCAACATGACCATTACGGATACAGGTTTCGAGGGTACACCATTCTCCTCATGAAATGCAAAAGTATCCCAATGGCCATGCGAACTCTCTCGTCGTACACTTCTGATTCGCCGATTCACAAACTTGCAGTGCACGTCCACAGGGCAAGAGGTAGGTAAAGAAAAAAGGCACTTTCCTTCACGAAAAATGGGGAAATGCGTGATACTGGTTTTTGTTTCATTTCTTTAGCGCTGCTTTTTGTGTTGAGTTCGTTGTCCTTCCCCCGAGCCGCACGGTTGGCTACGTACGGTGCAAAAGTTCACCGTACGTCAGCGCGTACACTTTGCGCATGTGGGGCTGGTAAAGAAGGAGGGCCGCTCTGGGTTTGGACCAAGGCTCGAGTCAATCCGATGCGATCGGATTGAGGTCAGACTGTACTCATTAAAATGCTGTCCTTGGAAGTTGAACGGCTGCAGTTGGTCAGGTTGCCGAATGCTATTCTCGCATCGGGCACCGAGCCGGTAAAAAAGAGAAATCTGGGCACCCAGTAACTAAACTTGCTTCTCGTTTGTGTTCATATTTACATTCTCAGCCTCGTCGCCCCTGGAGTGCACAAAACAATCTCGCGATCCTCATCCACCAGATATCCGTTGCCGACTGAAGGCTCTTGCCACCTCCATTGCTTGCAAGCATTACACAAAAATGACAATGTAACATTTGGCTATTTAGTTTTTACGAGCAAATCTCTGCTCTAAAAATGTTTTTTTTTTAATACGGCCCTGAATATTTGACAAAAGCCATGGCGATCAACACTTTTCACAAGCATTGAGAACGGCTATCGGGTAACGTGTGAGAGGTGGTGATTTTACAACGGTTTCAGCAGTACTTTATTTCTATTGTGTCAAATCTGGGGGCTCAGATTTGAGGTTTCCGCAGCTGTTTGTTGATTGATGGTCATGATGTCAGTGGCACACGGGAGGTCAGAAACCTCGGTGTTCAGTTTGACCAGTCATTATACTTTGAGGAACATATCTAAGGTGGTTAACATGTCCTTTTTCCACCTATGAAATATTGTCAGAATGCCGACTTGGAGAGACTGGTCCATGCTTTTGTATTATCCAGACTACTGCAACGCCTCACTGGTTGGGATACCGTGCAAAGTACTGGGCAGACTCCAGCTTTTATAGAATGCAGCTGCGAGAGTGCTTACACCATGTACATCATTACGTGAGGACATTACACCAGTTATCTAATCTCTTCATTGGCTACCAGTTAAATTCCGAGTGGATTTTAAGATACTGCTGTTAACCTATAAGGCTTTAAATGGGCTCATCCCACCTTACTTGCAGGAACTAATACATTCATATATTCCATGAATGTCCTTCTGATCTCCAACTGGTCAACACTCCCAGGTCGAGGTTGCACTGTTTTGGTGATCGGCTTTTTTAGCGTGGCACCCAAGCTATGGAACGCCTTGCCACTTGAAATCAGGCAATCAAAGTCGGTAAATATATTTAAGTCTTGATTTGAAGCTTTCGTGACTGCAAGGATTCATACTCTTAGTTTTTTCGGTAAAGTCACGTAGGTTAAAAGTTTTAAAATAAATTATTTTTTATTAATTTTAATTTCATTTTTTTACCTACGTGACTTTACCGAAAAAACTAAGAGTATATTTAAGTCTGCTTTTAAAACCCATTTCTTCAAAGTGGCCTTCCTCCTCTTCGGTTTGTTCAGTTGAGCCCTGGTTCTGTTTTTGTTTCCTGTTTTATCATGCATTGCGCACTGGGATCCCAGGATGGGATGTGCATTATACATTTGAATTGTTATTATTTGATTAAAAAGTTACATTTCAACTTTATTCAGGCGACGACTGCGTGGAAGACTTCGCCATCAGAGTTGTGCAAGTCGCACTCCTACAACCCGGCGTCCGGAGCCCGCAAAGGGCCACGCAGCGAATTAGCAGTGGGATTATAAGGAGATGGTGAATGTCCCCAGTGAGTACCGATGTAATGCTCGCAGATTGCGACACTGTACAAACCGCCCACGTAGCCTAGGTGGCTTATGTAGCAGCAGTAAGTATAAAGCAGCAGCCCACACAGCAGCACAAGCAGCAGCAGACCGTAAGGCAGTGGCACATTTTATAACGACAGAGGCAGCAAGAGTCCAGTTCGTTAAGCCTTGTCCGGCATCAAATTCACCTGATATTCCTCAGGCCTGGTGGGGCTTGGCATTAATGGAGAGCTAATGTCTGACCTGGATATATAGACCCAGAAAGTGATCCAGATGTGATTACTGTACATCAGAGAAGTAATCTTTCACATACAGCATGTGTCCTGGCCCCAAACCTTATTACTGTAGCTTGTAATGTGTATTGCTGACAACTGCCTTCTTAATTGTTATGGGTATCAGTCAAGTTGATGAGATTTCACCAAGCTGCAGCTGTATACATGTCGTCCATGCTTTTAAGATATGAACCAACAAGATCCCTCAGATCCTCTGTCTTTTAGTCGTCCCAAAGGCCAGGACCAACACCGACAGAGAAGCGGCTTTTAGTGTTTACGGTCCTCGCCTGTGGGACAGCCTGCCAGGGCATCTGAGGGCTTCAGAATCATTAAGCACTTTTAAAATGAATCTAAAATCTAACTTTTTTAAACTTGCTTAATTACGATTTCCTGAATGTGTTATTTCTATTATGTCATTGCTATAAATTTGTCACGTGATTTAATTTGGCCTACAATTTAACTTTTATTGTTCGTGCCTGTAAAGCACTATGTATTTGCACGAATAGTGCTATAGAAATAGACTTTGATTGATTGATTGAACTGTGGACAACGTGAAACAATACATGGATTGACACGGCAAGTCACACCCAAATAAATTACGGGGGCAGTTTCCCAACCTTTTCGATAATCTACCGACAGCAGCAGCAGCGCCGTTTCTCCGTCTCGTGACCCGACTCGGGATAAAATTGCTGAAAAAAATGAGGGGAGAGAAAATAATTCACCCTCCACTGCCCTTGAAGTGCCAATTGAACGTAACTCGCGAGTCATCGGCGCCCCCTCCGGCAGACCCGCAATGACAATACGCTCTTCAACAGTCGCGCGTCACAAAACGCCGAGCCGCACGGGGCTTTCACGGGCACGTGTTTAAGTCTGCAGCGTAGCCCTGCGTCGCCACGTACCAACGCGACCCTTCGCACTGCGGCGCACAGAGTCTGGATGGCGGCAAGTGGCCGGGTCCATGGAGCCCCCCCCCAACCCCCGCTGCTTGGACTCGGATCGAGGCCAATCGGCGCGATCCTGCGACCGGCGAGGCCAACTCCACATTCCTGTGGGCTCGTTCAGGCAGCACATTCTTGAGCCGGCATAATAGAAGTGCATCCCGCAGGGAGCAGCCTGCAATAGAATGAGAAATCCCTAAAAATAAGAAGCTCGTACTTTTAATTTTGAATTTGAATTCGCGTTGCATTGACTTTCTTTTTGCAGTGGCCAACTTGCAAAATATGATGTCGACCTATGAAACTGTACAGAGGGATACACTGGTATAATTCCCATTCAGACATCACCAACTGATATTATTTCCACATGTTATCATAAATACCGAAGTAAAAAAAAATAAGTTGCCGAAAACGAAAATTGTTCTACATGGTGCAAGTTGCGTTTTATTTACACCAATCCGACGGGGGGGGGGGTAATGTATTTTAAAGCCCCAGGTTTTTAACACTTCTGTACGGTATTCCTCTATTTATCCACAAATCTCACCCCGAGACCTAAGACTCTTCCTCGGGAGGATCTTTCAAGTGTGAGATAATTGACCAGCAGCTCCCTATCAAGTGTGCAAGGAAACTGGAGCAAGCCAGAAAAACGCGGGGGGGGGGGGGGCCTGTGGATTACTCACAAAGGTGCTGCGTATCTTTATTTAGTCACCACTGGATAAGCCCATCAGGTTGGGAGTCTTAGCACATGGAAGATTATTTGCATGATCCAACAACCTTGCCTGCAAAAAACCACGCCAGACCAAATTGTACGTTCCACTAGTAATTCAATTCATTTAAGTATTTGTGAGATCTGAATTGAAGTATCGATTTAAATGTTAAGATCGAGCTTCCTACCGATATCCCACGCCGAAAGCTTTTTCGAAGGCGGTGTACAGTAACGTCGTGATTGGTTGCCGAAAACATGTGTCCTTCTAGCCGCTGGGCGGCCGCTGAGGCTTGTACGAGCATTCTCCATGAATAATTCAGACCTCAGAGGAAAGCAATAAAACCCAAGC